CTCACAGAGTTTGATCGCCGGTTGTGTTGGACTTCACTGTCCAAGTTGCATAAATACTGTTGTTGATGTGCCCATAAAAACTGGCATGTCGAATAAGAATATTTCTAGTAAAGAGTAATATTGAGTGGAGATTTATTAAAAAAAAAACGCATTCGAGTTGACTTTTTTCTTAATATCATTGGATACGTGTGCCTCCCAGAATTCAAACAGATACACTTTTAGCAGGTGCGATACATTTAAACCTGTTGATGTCTGGAAATGGGTTGGCATTCACTAAAGCAATGTTCTAGGTGACCAGAATTACTTGACCTCAGACAATCTTAAAATTTATGATCGTAGGTCGGCCATAATTCCTCCCGTCCAATGCATAGATTGGATATTTAAGACGACTAGTGTTTTCTTCTTCATTTGGCAGTGTGCCAATTTGTCCTCCTGCGTCATTGCAGGTCGTATTTTATTTATTTTTCGTTGATACGTGCGATTTGCTGTCATATACTCGTCTACAACGATCCTCAGCTTCGACTTCGACTTCCAAAATCACATCAAATGTAGGTCGGCTTTATTTTATTGACTTCCAGTTGAAAAACAGATTTTCACAACCGTTTAACCCCTGTGCGCATGCTCAATGCTACTCGACACACTCTGGCTCACGATTATTCATGTGGAACTCATATTAGTAGGTGGAATCATTTGATTGGCCAATACTCGTAGAAAGCATCTTTTGATTGGTCAGTATTAGTAGGAAACATCCTTTGATTGGTCGATGTTAGTAGGAAACATCCTTTGATTGGTCGATGTTAGTGGGAAACATCCTTTGATTGTCCAATATTAGTGGGAAACATCCTTTAATTGGTCAAACAGGGACTACTATTGCCTATGGTTGCACGTTTTATTCAAACAAGAAATGTTGAAAATAAAAAGATTAACACACAAATGTTTTTCGAACGCGAGCGTCCTTAGCCACTACCTAGTCTTAGTTTGTCATCTACTTCAGAGACGGGTGAAATGACAGGAAACCTCGTCAGTAATTACTATTTGTTGCTGACAGTTAATCACACAGACAGACAGACTCATGTGTGCTCGACACGAGGTTTTTTTTCCAACTGGGAATTTCAACGGCGTTATTTACACACGATAATATAAAGCATGTGCTGAGAGACAATGGATGGGACTTTTGAGTTCGTTGTTCCGGTGTGGGTAAATCAAAGTGGCGACAAAGTACTGGCGAGGCATTCTCGCCCGCCAGAGTACTAGTATTTTCCGCCACACACCAAACGTGTGGTAAAAATCATGTGCCTCAAAGAGGGCGGAATTTACGACCTTGTGTCAAAGAGGCGGTCGAATGCATCGTACAGTCACTCATCTGTATGGCCAACCCCCGGCCTCGTGCGTTGTACGTGTTCGGGTCGCCAAAAAAAAATTGGAATCTGTAAGAAAGCGAATACTGCTCGTTCAGCGGGTGAGATATGAGCATAGCATTCCCCGCTAGGATTGATAAATGGTGCTCTTGTTTATCGAGTATCAAGTATCAGTTAGGGTCAAGTCAAAACGCTGACAGCGACCCGACCGCGCCACAGCTTATGGTTTTCTCAAACACAAGCCCAGAATGGTGTACACAAGCAAATCTGAGCTGAAATACACGCTCACAGGAAGTATCGCGCTCTCTGGTGGTGTGGATGTCAGCTACGGTTCTTCATATGGGCTAATTTTCCAGCAAGAATTTGCAGTTGGAGCAGAAAATTGTGTTCGGCCGTTTTGGTATGTGATGGCATTAAGCCAACAAAAACGAGTTGAAATCTGTGAATATTCAACTTCGTGACGAATTGTGACAAATAATTGATGCCATTTCCAAAATAATACATACAGTAAACCATGGCGAAACGGTGAAATCAGAATTATACAAATTAAAAGTGGACGTATACTAGTACGTGAAATAATGTTGTTTTTCACTGCAATACGACATTTATTTACATTTCCGTGAAGCCATGTTAGATGCAGACGCTTAACGGTCTATTTAGAGTAGAAGTTTGTCATATAAAGGATAACATGCAAATCTACTGCCCTGGGGTAAAACGGCAGACATCGCCGTTATCATTCACTCATATACGATAACTTCAAAAAGGCATTGGAAATAAAAAAAGTGTTAAATGAAGCTGATAAACTAAAGTACGTTTGGTTCCAAGGCTTCCAGACAAAATTCTGGAAATGACCTCTATGTGACACAAATGAACTGCCAACTCTGTATCGGGGCAGATGGATGAAGATTGCTACTCCAGCTGTCACCCCCTGGGTGACCCTCCATCATGTAACCTTCCGACAGAAGTCTGTGTACTTATGACTATGTTGTCATGGTTACCGGTCAAGTGATGGCTCGTACTCGGCGTGAACATGCCATCAGCGTGATGCAGGACACCTTGTTTTAAATTTATGACAAAGGTGACTTGGCAGCACCACGTGACAAATAGCAGGGAAACTGCGTTCACTAGTAACAGTGGTAACATCGCCCAAAACAGTGCAGGATAACAAGAGTGTAAAACATCGCACCGCGGCTAACGGTTTTCATTGACCACTGAAACGCAGGGAAACCCGGTCACGAAAATAAACGACACAAGTCCATTAAAAAAGAACAAAAACACAAAAAACGCAATACAAAACATTTGTCGTCTTTCATTGGCAATTCTCTCTGATAGATAATACACGAGTTGCCTAATTTGCAGTCTCTAACAGAGGTGAATTGATCCCGGCATCCCACTACATACCCCGACACGCTCCAGAACTATTGGCTATCCCCTCATTTGATTTCATGAAAAAAATGTTCGACTATTCACCCGGCCCTTGCAGCTGCTGCCACTCAGTCGCAGCCGGGCAACGATTTTTTTTATAAATCCAAAAACATTTTTTTTGTATTCAAATTAAAAAAAAATGATTCTACCCACATTCAGGCAAACTGATGTCTCGCATAGCTTCGGTGTGTTGGGTAATTATTATATTTGATAAGTAACCGACAAAATAAAGTCTTGTGTTGGGCTTTAAATATACGAGGCAGTCACGGTGAATTTAAACCATGGCATTTATAAGGTGACAGGCGACAAACAAAACACCAACAGTTGATTTATATTCGTGAAAAGTAGTGCAAAGTTATTCCAGCTAGCCCTCGTATATCTACAACATAGCAGCGAAGGATGGACGACTTTTTGAAACCCCATATGGGATGGGATGAGATCACATATTGCAAGTTGTACTAATGTACTTGATCCAACGAAGAAATAAAAAGGGCTTTTGTCGCACAGAAGTGCTATAACTGCTAAACCAATGACGTTGCTTCTTTTACTGTGGCGAATATTACATTATTTAGCGAAGTGGGAAGCCTTCCAGTACACGCAGAGAATGGCTGATTTCCTATACATTTCGTTAAAACGACAGAAAGCCTCATTGCCCGCGGGGTATCAATGCATCAATGACTCCATATATCTCCACAAACAAACCCTGCCAAACGTTTGTTCGTTCTTTGTCTTTTAACATTATATTTTTACGACTCGCCTGGTGTATTTTGTATTTCTTTCAAGTCGCCCTTTCGCTGGAACATGCTGTCCACCACTGAAGGGCTAGAGGGAATTGAAACTCGTGCTCACGACGCGCCAAAATACGATAAATTTACTAAATCGTGGAACAATATCAACAGATGCAGTTGAGGAACTGAATCATATATTGAACTCGAAACATTATCGATTTAAAAAGTAAAAAAAAAAAAATAGGAAAAATAATTCCTCGTAAATAAAATAGTTTCTTCACAAACAACGAACACAACAATAAATCTCCTAACTTAAATGTACTACATGTTTTTCCCAGCTTATAAAACAGCGGACTTTAGTTAGGATAAGGCCAATACAATTTTATACTCTCACAGAAAACTAATAACAGAGTTTACTTTTCAAGGCACTCCATAATGTGCGTGCACTGAACCCGGGCGTTCCGCTGTCACTCGGTGTGAAAAATATGCAGTTGACCTTAAAAAATAGACAGCATGCATAAAAAACTGGTCTATGCATTTCTTGTTTTAAATCGATAGTATACGACTTGTGAAGTTCGCTATTGTTTCCCAACGAAATAATTTCTATATTGGGTATCGACAAAGCGATTTAAAAGAAAACGCACATATGGCGTTTAGTTGTCGCACTCGGGTCAAGATAAAGTTTACAATGATATATTTTTATGCTATTCAGTCGAAGCGAATTCCAGCTTAACACGGTACAATTGGACACTAACAAAACAGAGTAACCAAATACAGGGACACTGAAAGAAGGTGGGGGTAACACTACACCCCAAGTTGGCAGAACAAGAGGGGAAAAAGTAACAAAACAGACTTTTTTGTCAAGCATTTGTTTGTGGTATTATTTTTCCCAATCTTTTCTTCTAAAAATATTATATTGAAAAAGGTAAAAATTACAAGAAATTGAGTACATGATTAATTTCTCTTCCATGCTATATGAAGCAAACAATTCTTTATACACATTTATAAAGAGGTAGCTGGCATTTAACAAAATCGTGAACTTTGTACACATTTAACCAAAAAAAAAACAATTTTCATTGTAATGTTGAATGACCACAGTATAACCATGTTCTAGTATATTTGGCAGTTATATAGGTCTTTGGTTTGATAATGATATATATCTATATATATATATATATATATATATATATACTTCTACAGAATAAAACGTGCTACCAGTATCAAATACTGAACCAAAAAAAAATCTCCAATTTACAATTAGATTAAAAATTAGCATATAGTGAATATTGGTACGCTGTGGTCTGAATAAAAACCAGACGTTTCTTCTGTTTTTCCATATAAAAAAATCCTTTGAAAATACTTCTATAAAAAAAATCACAAGTCTCTTGAACTGCCTCTACGATTATTAAACGCAGATTTTAGCAGACTTTAAGTCGGCTAGCTCGCGGCTCGATTTTAGAACCTATTCGAAGATATTCCCATGGTCTCTGTGTATATTCGCCATATTGGCAGAGTTGTTTAGCATTGTTCGCTGTGAATTCGTGGTCAGAATTCAATGAAGCAAAGAAAATATCTTTCTCTTCCGCCCTCTCTTCGTCTACTATTTACTTCCCTTATAAACTCAACATAACCATGTTTTGTTTTTATGGCTACGTTGTCTGTGGGGTTTGGGCCCACGCTTACTATATAAGGTATTGTAGGTCCATGTCTATACATTACTTCAGTCAGAACTGACATGGTAGATACACCGAGCCGAGTCAGCGCGTACTCATTCTAGTCCAAGGTCACTCACTAATTTGCATATACATGGTAGGGCTTTTTTCGTCGTCTCCCGTGTTCAAATGTTTGGTATAGGAGTATATTTACCGGCTATGTCTGAACCAAAACGATCTGTAAAATGTGGGAGAACAGAGAATGTGGCCTTTTTGTTGGCTTGAGTTATTACATTTTTGTACACGGCTGTAGAAACACGTTGGTCTAGTACATCATTATCGCCATTGCTATAGCCGTTAGTCGAGCACACTGGTGCTATTCATAGAATGGCCCCGGCATGGCACTTCAGTGTACAGCAGAGCCCACATTGCGAATCGTCGCCATTGTATCCCGCGTGGATGTGTGATTTGTATGGATTCGTATTCTCAAAACCGGTGACACCTCTTTACCCGAACGCACACAAACATGGCAATGTGTGTTTTTTCCCGTTCAATCCTGGGTTTCACTTGACGCGGTTTTTTGACTGTACAGGCGAAATGCTTTTTTATCACCGAAATAATTACCCAGAAGTCTGTGAGCCGACATCGCTTCCAAACACGGTCTCACCTCTTATGCCAAAGTCCAAGATTTAGCACACTTAAGCACGGTAGTTGCATGATTTTCTCCAGACCGACAGTTGTAATCTTTGTACAGCCATACAAGTCAATGCAAGATAGTTTCCTCAGGTTGGTGGCGATTAGTCCAAGTCCCTCGTCGGTGATTCGACTACACTGTCCAATATTCAAAGTTTTCAAATCTCTCAACGTTCTCACCAACCTCGCCATGCCGTCATCAGTGATTGGGCACGAACTAAGACTAATGCTCATCAGACTGTACATTCCTTGAGCAATGTGTGTCAGCGAGGCATCGCCAACCTTATCACAAAAACTAACGTCCAGTGTCCGCAGATACGCCCCACCTTCCGCTAAATGGGCAATGCCGATGTCGCTGATATTGTCACAACTACGTAAATTCAACTCCTTTAGGCTAGGCATTCTGCTCAGATGCACCATGCCAGAATCGGTGATTCCCCCGCAAAAACTTAAATTTAGGCTTTCCAGTTTGACAAGTCCTCTGGCTGCGTTGAGCAAGGCAAGGTCTGTCAGTTTCTGACAATCCTGTAGCACCAAATGTTGTAGGAACAGCGTTCCACCAGCGTCGTTTTTCGTCAGACCCGCCAGATGAGCGATCCCCGAATCCGACACATGTCGACAGCTTCGTAAATTTAGGTATCTGAGTTTTGTGAGCCCCCAAGCGATCAGCAGCAGTCCAGTGTTTGTAATGTTACAACAGCCACCCAGATCTAAATGTTCCAAGTTTCGCAAATACTGCGCGATTCGACCAAGACTACTGTCCGTTATCTGCTTACATAGGCTTAGGTTCAATACCGTAAGGCTGGGCATTTCACGTACAAAAGCGTGTGCCAAGCCAACATCAGTCAAATTATAACAGCCACTCAGATTGAGACTCTGTAAGTTGTGCATACCTTGTACCACGGAGCTTAAACTACGTTTCAGACTCAGTATCTGCACACGCCTTATACCACGATTCACTAAACTGGGAAACAAAGACGGATTCGCCCGCCGTAAATGCAGCTTGGCCTCCACTCCCTTCCACACGGATCGGTGATATGCCGCGTCTCGCCATTTCCGACACACTTGGGCAGCTCGTCCTTTGTCTTGAACGTTCAAGTAGCTGAATATCATGGCCAGTATTTCAGGGAACAGACAAGCAATGTTCAACTCGCCCGGCATTTTGGCCAAGCCCTCCTTGTTGGTAGTCTTTTTTTTTTCGACTACCAGTAAGCCTCGATCGAGTGCAGTGAACTGGCGGCTGAATGCTTGTGTGATTTGAAAGTCACGTGATAAGCTTTCAATGTTTGACCATGTGATCGGAATGCGCGTGTGTGATTGGACAGTGTGTCAATCAACTTCATTAGTTACGCGTTCGAATAGCTTAATTTCGACTCCCCGCTGTTTTGCCATTTATATTCATGGCTTCAGCGCTTCTCTTCATACTGTCATGTTTTGATGTATTGCCAGGTCCATTTCTTTGCGTGCGAGGGCAGCGTAGAGCAGTTAGAAGAAAGAAAAATCAGTCGAACCGCGACATGGAAATAGTTTCCGCCTCCATTCTATGCATTCATTTGACGTGCTCAAGTTGACAACGTGGAGCGGCGGGCATGTTGTATAAATGAAAACGTGTGGTGTGAATGGTAATCATGGCAGGAAACAAAACTCGAACACGAGTCGTAACGTGGCCACCACTGAATGGAAACTATATCTTGCGGTTTCTTCTTTAATTTCAAATACCATATATTGGCGTACGAAAACGTACCCCGCTCACGGTAACCGGAGCCTGCACGAATGGACAACACGGCCTGCTACGTATTCAGACAGCTACCGCCGTGTAATATGTGACACAACGACACAGCACTCTGGAAACCTTATAACAATTGCATAGTATTAATCAAATCTCAGACCATTTTTAGTGTTCTGAGATCAAATCAAATTGATAAAGGGGTACAATTGTCATTACTTTCCGTGGTCACTATTTTATAGCAAATATATAACATTATAACAACATAGCCACTCTTTTGACAATTTTCAAAACATGCAAAACATATCAACTGAACGCACTGGGTTATGGGTGAAATCATATCCAGACATTCTCGAACTTGAACTTGAAACTGAATCTTGTAAAATACCACTACTCACGGCGCATTGCACAATCTTTCTCTCGAATCCCAGTGATCATATTCCCCGTCTGATATGATGTGCGTCGCGACAGGAAGTGGAGAAAATAAATATTCAATTCACGCGAAAGTTCGTACCATTATTTTATTTTTATATTTGCATTAAGTGATTCGCGCATCGAGCAAAATATCACGAACCAGGAAATCTTTCTTCGTAAAACGCGTCCGATATACGATAAACCCCGTAGGGAATTTGTGTACTACTATTGTTAATTTCTAGTTGGAGGGAAACTACCAGTATATTGACAGACAGTTCGACAGCTCCTTTGGGCAGAGCGGAGGTAAAAAAAAATAATAATAAAGTTTGAGGCGTAGCGTAGCAGAATTCCCCCTATCGGGAGTAGCGGCTATTGTCAATTTCGATTCACAAGAACCAGTTGTACGGCCCCACTAACAACGGTCAATTCACTGAATCGAAACGGATCGGAGAATAGGATGACCTCGCAATTTATAATTGCTATATCTGTATTTGACTGAAGACGAAACTTATAGGCATGAAAACAGCTCTTGGTCGTCGTGGGACAAACTATCCCTGTGATATATGCGACATTTTGGAGTACGAATAAATTCGCTGTGGGTAATTATTCGTCATGTGACTAATATTCCAATAGTTCGATACTAGTTTCCGGCACGGCACGGCTGTTTCCCACATTATGGTCCAATATATGACCACCAATCTATTACATTATTTCCGCGGTAGTAATGATTTTTTAAATCATATTTTCCAAATTGCATTCAGTTTCAAGCTAAATTCAGAACATTACCAGCTTCGCACACAAATAGTTAGGCGAACAAACCATGAGACGAGTGAAATAGGAAATCAGTGATGCGTAACGAACTACAATGAATGGACAGTCATTGAATCAACCACTGCATAGAAAACGTCTGTATGTCTGCCCTCTAAACCAGACTATGCTTTTTTATACACGCTATGTGGATTTTATCGTTTGTTAAACGTCTTCAGGTGATCACTGCCTTCTCTGCGGGCACCGGGCATGATTATCATCTTTTGGATGGTCGCCTGGTAACGCAATATGCAAATGAAAATATCGAAACAGATGGTGCATGAATACTAATTTGATCACAGAAAGGTAATCTTCTTAGACCCGAGAAATTTTATAACCGTTGCCGTTGACAACGTGTTGGGAGAGTTTTATTTCCATCGTTGCTCCCTGACAGATATCAGAGGAAATGCGCCTTCCAATTGTCACATGACAAATCCCTACTAAATCTTTAATATTAGGCAAAATGACCTATCAATCACATATTGTGAAGTAGTTGACAGAAGGTCACCGTGTTGCTATTGACGACCATCGAAGCATGGAAGTTTAGGGCAGAATGGGGAAAAAAAAGAAAAAGAAAAAAACGATCGAAAGCCTGAAATGATATACAGTATTTGGGAAGATAATGTCGAAAATCGTCAACACAGTTGTGTCGTCATTTCCGATTCTGCCTGACAGCTGTCTGAATGTTATTTTCGAGTGGAGTCTTTTTAGCAACCGTATTTTGTATCACTCGCAATATATATATATATATACACTAGTATATTGCATCTGTAACGTAAACACATCACATCTCCACTCTCCCCGCACCTTTTTCGTGCTCGGGAATAATATGTTTAGTACATGTAGTAATTATTTTTTGGGGGAACATTTTTTTATTCTATGAACATGCGAATGAAGTACGATAGCAGTAATTGTACTGACTTTTCTCTGTTGCTTGTTGTACTAGAAACATGTGAGTGGAGTAACACCGCCAGTTCGCGTTCACTCGGCCAATTTCATTCATTAA